CTATTTCGTTTAGGGCGATTAAGGATTGGTATGAGTAATGTTTACGTTTCCACGGCATTTCACATCCAGGCTGTGGGTGTTGTCAAAACCGAGGCAGTCCGCTGCAGCCTAATGATGAGAACACCTTTTAAGAATGCGGGGCTATGTAGAAATTAAGTATAAATGTCAGCTATGCTCATGTCGTTGTGGGAAAATTCCATAACCAGGCCCTCATTGCCTTAAACTAAATATGATGAATATCTCTTATTGATGGTCTGTTTGGACTGTGTCTGACCTTTCCACATTCTGCTAATGGTCACTGTGAAGCGCTAGATTGGCCAATTTATCGCTATGATTACCTCTTATCGGATCAATGGCTGACGAAATTTTGATAAATTTTATCAGTAATTAATTAATATTATTTTCAAAAAATATCTCAAGCATTGGTTTATTTAATTTCGCCCAATTGGGCATAAGTGAGTAGAGGGGAAAAGTAGTCACAGCAAAGTATAGGCAAATCTGGTAATGTTTGTGGCTTTGTGTCATCAGAACAAATCAATTTCAGTGACATTCAGCGAGAAGTAGTGTCATTTGACTCGATGTCTTTTCCAACATATAATACTATAATAATCTGAATAAGATTAGTATCAGGTAGGCTGGATTGCGAATTCCCCAGAGGCTTCCGCTCACTTCTCGGTCTGCAAATCTGGCAATATGACTCCTTCTTATGCTTACATTCCAGAATGAAAGTGCAAGCCTGTCATACTTAGATTTTGTTAAAAGCCTAAAAGTAATTTACCATCGGCATATTTCCGAATTGAATGACACACACATCGACAATCTCGAGTGGACAAGGGCAAGCGAGGATATGAATTGGGTTGGAGAAGAGATATGTCCATATTAAGCTGTAGTGGGGCTTGTGGATATAGATTTATGTGCTGTCAAGTGTATGTTGAAACTGGGGACGATTGATACCACAATCTCCGCGAGATTGAATTTGCTTCAAAATGATGCGCTGTAACTCGGTGATAGGCCAAGTTATTGCATAACGAGCAAATGGCCGAAACTGGATGCAATACGGGATATGCTCTTTGCAGTTGCTATGAGAACCTGAATTAATTGTGGAAGAGATAGCAAACCGAGCCTTCACAGTAAAAGTAGCTTGAGATTAAACCAAAATTATCATATTTTGCATTTTATCAGTGCCACTTCATTTTTTGGCATCCTTTTAGAATGACGCAAATTTGGTATGAAGCAAGTGTCAGCAGTGGCTTATTTAGTGCATGTTTAGACACAACCAATTTGCGAAAACAAGGTAACCAACTTGCATACAACGAAAGGAGACCGCGGCTATACCAAAAGTTGCATCATTCCTTCGATTAAATTTTTTGGTTTTCGTTATTTTAGTTATTTTGTCCACATATTATTTATTTTACCCCCACGCAAGAGCCTTTTCAAGCGAATTAGTTTCTTTCGCTTTGATTGGTAACATCTTTTTACTACTACTTTTTTAAAAGTTGTTGATGTTAACATTTTTTCTCTTTACATCTTAGCATCACTGCCTGCTGTTGTTATTTATTTTTACAAATAATTTTGATAAACCTTGCACGTCAGGTGCGTTATGGCCGATCATAGCTACATCATATAAGATTGTTGGGACACAAAAGTTTATTAGCTATTATTATTATTATTTGTGCGTATGATTTTTTATAAATTTTATCTTGTATTATTGACTACCGCCTACCCAAGACTGTTATGAAAATCAATAGGCCGCAGATTAAATCCGCAAAAGCAGTAAATTATCGTAATTTTCCTGTTTATTAAATTGGTATAAATTATTTTCTTGCCTAATCCAGTATTTTTTAAAATTTAGTCACCAATAAAAAATGATTCTGAACATGGCACAATCAGTGTGGTACATTAACTAAATTTTACTCGATCAAAAAATTTCAGAATATTTACTTTATTTTCAACATTTGAAATTATTCTCGAAAAAAACACAAGAAACGGGAAATCTTGCGTCATAGCCAAGGGTGGCTCTTTGTGTTATTGAAAAGTCAGGCTGAAAATGCGTGGTGCACGCCGCTGTCAAGGACAGACGAAAATCCGAAATATGCTTTTTCTGAAGGCAGATGAGTCTTCCTCTTCCAGAAGGAGAGGATGTCTATCCTTGTGTCCAACGTGAACTATAATTCGCTGTCGTCATGGGATATTTAACGCCACGATTAATCCTCCTTTCTGCATCCATCTAAATGTAAAGTGAGACTGATGATATATTTGCGTTTTCGTTTGTACACACAATTTCTACTTTAATTTTCCCATCAATTCATCTACTGTAACTGATGTCTCGCTTACAAAAATGCAATTTTTCCCACCTCTCCACAGGAGTTATTCTTATGGTCCGTTCTGCACCAGCGACAAGCCATGGCCAAGTTCTTATGGGAGCAGAGCGAGGATGCCACCTCGATTGGTCTTGTTGCCTGCGGTCTCTGGGCGAAAACCATCCAAGTTCTTCCCTCCTACGACACCGAAACCAGCGCCATCTACCAGAGCTATTTCGACGAGTTTGAGATGATGGTGCTGAGTGTGCTCGACAAATGCCAGGACATCGACCCGGTAACCACCCGACATGCCCTCATCTTTTCGTACATAGTTGGACAACCCTGTTTTCTTGTTACTATACTCTCCTGGTCGTAGAGTACCACAGGGACCTTGAGAGGGTACAGCAACATCCGGTTTCGCTACATCGGCTCAAATCATTCTGGGTTCGGGCCTGTATGCAAAACGCGATGATTTTCTCTGCTTAATCCAATTTACTTCGGCTAGAACCGGCATCAGTTCGTTTGGACGACGTACGAATACTTGTCCATCCCATTGTTATTCAAGTTCCTCTCAAACGGGGTTATTCGTGCACGGAGGCTTCGCGAAATCAGCAAAAAAGTGATCCGAAAGAGTGCATGTCCAGATTAATGCAGACTCTGTCATGCATGTTGTTGCAGCAAATCTTTGTAAATTCCTATTTCCACTTTGCGCCCAGAATTCTACCTCGCGGCTCATCGAAAGACGCATCGAGACTTGGGGCGACTACAACTGCCTAGAGCTGGCCGCCAACGCGAATGCACGCAAGTTCCTCAGCTCGGTGGCCTGCCAGAACTCGCTAGACTTCACGTGGAGCAACGGAGTGCACGCCCATCCCGGCTGGGTGGCTCTGGCCATCATCCTTCCCTTCTGCCTGCTTTCCAAGCGGATCTTCAAATTCCAGCTCATCGAGCAGCCAAGTAAGCCAAGCCAGCAACTCGCACGCTTCACGCCAGGTTAGGCTTCATGCATGCCTCCACAATGGCATTGAAGTCGACTGAGTTATCATTCTACAATCGCTCACTCTCTGCTGCTTCGCATGGCGACATTGTTGCTTTATTTTTCGCCTAAAATGTGCTTTCATTCACTTCGGACTCTTCCAAACCATAGCGTTTTTCCTCCTCTCTGAGCAATCGACGCGGATTCATGGCAATACTCTTCTCCTAGTCATTCTAGATTTGACCACATTTGTTCGTTTCAATATGAGTAGCTTTCATGTCATCCTTGAATAAGACATGAAGGAAAACTGGGTTTCCGAAGGA